TCCTGCCCCTAAAAAAGGACGTAAGCGGGCAGACAGCAGCCCCATTCACAACCGCACAGACTTCTTCTTCTTCTTCTTCTTCTTCTTCTTCTTCTCCGCCTCCTAATTCTTCTTCTTCTTCTCCTTCTTCTTCCGATATTTGTACTTTCTTTTTCCCCTCGCTGTTGGTCCTTGCATCCTCTACTTCCAAGACAGTATGGCGGGCGGTGGCAACGGCGTCGGCGGGGGGAGTGGCAGGTCTGGAAGGGGGAGAGGCAAAACGGCAGCAGACAAAGGAAAAGGAAAAGTTGCAAGCATCTCCACTACCCCCCCCTCCCCCAACACAGATGTATTTCACAAGTTTCTCCGCGGATTCGGGCTCCTCTTAGCGAGCGCACTCCAACCCCATTTTCAAAAAAAAATAAAAAAAATTCCTGGGACGTTTTTTGGCTCGTCTGGTTTTGCCGGACGGACCCCCCCCCGTCCGTCTGGCCCGGTCCATCTGGACCGGGCGTCGGTGTAACCCAGCCTTATTATGCATAGTTATACATTACCATCATCTACTCCTCGCATCTCCTCGTGATAATAGATCCCTTCGCTCCATTATCAGCATTCATGGCAAAGTTACATTTTTAGTTATGTTAATTCTTGAAAAACATTTGTAAGACAGTATCAAGATTGACCATATCAAATTTGATATCAATGTTCTTTGTTCTTTCGATGGTCAATTCATTTTAAGTCTAAATCCGAATAGAAATATCAACTAACAAGTACAAACTCCTACAAATCTCAGACATAGTCTTCATAATGCACTGTCCGTCATCCGATGAATTTGATGTCTCCTTCTTCCAGGCATAAGCAATGGTCACAGGGAAATCCAGCTTAAAAAAGGCATACCTTTTCATGAGAATGACTTGTAACACCCCCGGATACAAGACATTCAAAAGGCGAAGGTGCAAATGAGAAGTACCGTAGGACCGTCCTGCAACACAAATGACACGCTATCATCTCATCAACACTTCAAGCAAAGGAGTAATAGCCTCAAGGACCATCAAAATAAAATGCATGCACCCATAATCTATCATGCTCAAGTGGAACGAGTTCCACAACAAACACCATAGCCTTACGACCAACATAGTAACATACAGAACAACATCATGTTCCCCAGAGTTGATTTAACCGACCCCTGTATGAAAAAAAGGGCCTCGTTTGTTCCACAGCAGTGACGACAGTACGTTGAAATTTGCCACCCTTAATCTATCATGCTCAAGTCGAACGAGTTCCACAACAAACACCATAGCTTTACGACCAACATAGTAACATACAAAACAACATCATGTTCCGCAGAGTTGATTTAACCGACCCCTATATGAAAAAAAGGGCCTCGTTTGTTCCACAGCAGTGACGACAGGACGTTGAAATTTGCCACCCTTGGGCTGCCATTAACCAGTCAGAAGGCATTGTTACGCTCCACAGTTCAGGTGTGGATGTGGTGGTGGTTTTAGATGGAGAAATGGAGAAGCGGGCGAGAGACCAGGTTCAAAGCAGTAACATTCTGCATGCCCCTGTCCACCTGGACCAAAGCTACCATCACCTTGCCCCTGCTCTATTGATATGCCTGCATCCATTGTTCCCAACCCATTGCATGGCATTTCCTCCACAACGTACCCTTGGGTTCTAGCTTGGCACTCTCCATCAGCCATCATTTTTGGACCTCCCACACTTGTTCAGAGCACCTTGTAGTCCTTTGTTCAGCACGATTGCTGGAATCTTTTCAATCGCTTCTGATTTTGCACTTGGTTTGTATCTCTTTCCTTACTTCCCAGTCCTCTGCTTCCATGTTGTACAGATCATCGTCATTATCACATCACCGTCGTCACTGTCATCACTACCACCACCATCAGCAGCATCCTCACTGCCATTACCATCAGCAGCATTTCAGCATTCTTTCTCATCTTTTACTAGAACAGTTGCAGCTTCGCAAGCAAACAAAAAGAACGCAGTCGGGAGAGACCTTGGGAGATGGAAAGCAATGGGGTGGAGATGGGGGAGAGATGGAGGCGAGGTGGGTATGGCACAGAGAGGGACAGCAGGAATGTGGGAGGCAGAGGGCATGGATGGGCGGATGGGGAAGAGACATCCCTGGAGGGGATGTGGGAAGAGAGGGAGTGCAGAGATGGTGGCAAATTAGACGTGTAGGACGGAAATAGACAGGCTTGGCGGAGAAATGAGATGGGGAAGACGCGGAGCGAGACAACGGGAAGGCCCAATAGGGCATAGACCAAAAAATCACGCCAAGGCTCTCTCTCTCTCAGGCTTGGCGGAGAAATGAGATGGGGAAGACTTGGAGCAAGACAACGGGAAGGCCCAATTGGGCATAGACCGACAGGCTTGGCAGAGAAATGAGATGGGGAAGACTTGGAGCGAGACAACGGGAAGGCCCAATAGGGCATAGACCAAAAAATCACGCCAAGGCTCTCTCTCTCTCTCTCTCTCTCTCTCTCTCTCTCTCTCTCTCTCTCTCTCTCTCTCTCTCTCTCTCTCTCTCTCTCTGTGTGTGTCTCCCCATTTCAATCAGCAACACAAAATTCCAAGAATCCCAACCATGTTTAAACAACCCCGAGCAAATTAGAAACAAGTGGAGACTTTTTCCTCCCCTTGCTTCACCTCAAACTCTGGCTACTGCGGCTCTCCATACCCAGCGCCCAGCCAATTGAGCCTGCAGACCACCAGCGACCCTCCCCCACCAAGTGCCTGCCAGAATCCTCCTGATAACCCCTGTATCCTAACAGCACCCAATGAGGGGCAGAGACGCCAGCACTCTAGATGAAGAAGAAGCTCCAGCCCGATGAAGAAGAAAACAGCTGCCAAGAAGATGGACCAGCACAATCCCCAACCGCAAAGATATGGTAATGCACATTCAGCGCATTATAGCCAGGCTCCAGCACTGTCCTCTGCTCAGTAGCACGGACCCTCCAGCTATGGCCGCCACTCCAGAAACAACAGGAATGGCTGTGTCAACCCAATTTCACAGGAGCACTCACAGTTGTTCCACCAGACGACAACAAACAAAAACAGCCGAAAGAACCCAACCGACTTGGCCACGATTCTATTTCTAGACTACAACCTAGGACCTATGAACAGACACAGGGCTGTCCAGTCGAGTGACCCGGAAACAGTCCCAAGCGGTAGAAAACACTAGGGCCTGATAACATCAGGCAATTTGCAGAAGAGTCCCCGTAGAAACTGGGCCTGTACCGTGTACAGGTTAGGGCTCCGAACTCAAGAAAATTGCAAAAATGACCCTACTTCTGTTACAGCCCGCTGAGAATCTGCAAGTTCATCGCACCCCACAATATGATTTGTTCCCAATGCTTCACAATTCAAGTCTTCCAAACATAAGAAAATTACAAAAATGACCCTACTTGTGTTACAGCTCGCTGAGAATCTGCAAGTTCATCGCAGCTCGCAATATGAGTTGTTCCCGATGCTTCGCAATACAAGTCTTCCGTGCATCTTTGTCCGCTGTGTACTGGACCAATTCTACTTCAGTTACGAAAAGAAAGACGAAAAAAGCAACCAGAAGCAACCAGAGCGTGTGGGGAGAAAAAAAGAGAACGATGCAGGTGCAGTTCCAGAAGTTTCTTCCCCACATAAGGCCTTCATCTCTCCTACGTAATGGCCAGGCGCCGACAGATGCAAACACAATGGTGGAGGGGTGAGGAAGACATAGCACGAGAGGTGCGCAGGCAGGGCGAGCCGGGCAGGTGGGCAAGTGGGGCAGGCATACACACTGAAGCAACGCAAGTATAATAACGGCATGCACTGGGCCTCTTTTGCAGCCGCACAAAGGGCCCACGTGAAGGATGGCAAACGGTCGTCTTATTCGACTTTAGACAGCAGCTGCTGGGACATGATAGTGGTTAGGACCCGCAAACGGTTGCCTTCTTCGACTTTAGGCAGCGGCTGGGACACGATAGTGGTGGAGACCCCATAGGTTTGGAAAGGTGTTGAGCAAATATACGCCTTTCAATAGTGAATGGCCGAGATGCACAACTTATCACAGAGTCTTGAGACCGGCCGTGCATCTGGGCCATTCACACTGATGGACAGTCCAGAGCCAATCTCGAAAACTTGTTATCAGCCGCACATGTCATTCAAGGTTCGCCAAAAAGGCCCGGATCTGCCTAACACCTCACTTAGAGATTTTTTATACTACGTGCCATTGTCTTTTCTCCTTCCTCCCTTCTCTCCTCGTTTCGATCTCGAAAACTTGTGATCAGCCACACATGTCATTCATGGGTTCCCCAAAAAGACCTGATCTGCCTAACACCTCGCTTAGAGATTTTTATACAATGCGCCATTTTCTCCTGCCTCCCTTCTCTCCTCTTTCCTCGTTTCCCCTCTTTCCAGCCCTTCTTCCCTACTCTTCCTCTTCTTTGTTCTTCACATCATTTCCCGCAACTCTTCCAAGTTTTCCTTCAGTCCTTTTTGCATCCCTCTTCTTCCACTTTTATCTTCTGTTCGTTCTCTTCCTCCATTCGTGTTTGAACATGCCGTCTTACTTCTCTTTCTGCATTTCCCTCTTCTCCCCCTCATCTTTTTCTTACTCCACGATAGTCCATACCCACAAAGTCATAGTTTTTTCTGCTGCTCGTCCTCTTCCTTTACTGGTGCAATTTTTTTTTGGTATCTTCCTCTCTTTCCTTTTCAGTTTCCTCCTGTTTCTCCCTTTCCCCCTCTCCCTGTTCCCCTCGTTCTCGCCATCTTAATTCTCCTCATTTCATCCTCCTATGAACCTCCCCAACTTCTTTTTTGGCATCCTCCCTTGATTTTTTTTTTTTTTTAACCATCAGTCACCTATGTCTATTAGGGCTTCTTGTTTAAACAAACCAGCATGACGAGATCAAGTCACAGCATCTCCAGATGAAAGTAGAATACAGAGCATTTAGAAATGGGACTCCCTGAGGATCCATCACATCTATACCATTCGGAGGGGAAATAGCTCCAATTCCCAGGCACCAGTCTTTTGCGAAGAAAAGGCCAATAAAAAAAGTTACAAAGAAAACATTACTCAGTTTTAGTTACTGCAGACGTACCAGGGCTGCCATTCAGAGCTTATGGCAGTTCTCCTTTTTCACCTTTTAGCATCCACCAGGTGTCAGACTTAAACTAATGTGCTATCACTCTCCAGAGTCCTGTGTTAACAAATGTGCTATCACTCTCCAGAGTCCTGTGTTAACAAATGTGCTATCACTCTCCAGAGTCC